ATACAAATACAGTATACTAATACAATAATACTGTAGGTTTCCGTAGTCTGTGGCCATAGGTTCATCTGAACTGTCAATCAATTCTGAGAAATTCACAGTTGTAAACTCTTACTAGTCTTTTTCTAAGTTCACGTCGCACTCGCAATTAGTTCGCATGTTTTATGTAGGAAAACAGGTATGCCCTAAGTCATAGCATTTGTAGGTTAAGTATAATAATAACAAACATGCTTATCGTAGGTTTGTAGGCATACTTGTTCAAGAATATGCCGTGGTAGGTTTTATTTATAAATTTTATGTTTTAATTCTTGTCTAATGACGATATTGATTTGTATTAGTGCGAAAATGTTAATTTATTTGTCAAGGGCACGAGCGGCCCTCTAGTCTATGTATGTTACATGAAGCACAACATGAAAAAGAATAAATTAAAGGAAGGTAAAAAACGGATCAGTTGCTGAAGGTCTAAATCTCGGAAGGTCTAATCAGACCTTCGACACACATTTTGCAGTTTGTACTTGATGCTGAGGATCCCATGAATCCTGTACAAAATAAAAAAAATGTTTCATTCAAACTACAATTTTATTATTTTATTACTTTTCCGAGAACCAGCCTTTATCAGGACTTCCGCTCCCACGCTAGTTGGCAACGTCAACTGTGCTATATGAAAACAATAAATCTTGAGTAAATATACTGTAATGTTGAATTTTGAGGTTGTGGTGTTCCTTCGTAAACACATTCAATTATGATCTAGGAATATGTAAATTTATTGTTATACGTTAACATTATTGATATTCGATTCGCTACAGTACTATTAAACCTATAACATTTTCAATTCATGTGCGTTGTATTTTAGAGTTGGGGAAACAAAAGAACCCTGTGTGCAACTTATTTATATGATACTAGCTGTGTGCCCGTTCTACGCACGGGGATCTTAAAGTAGTCAGTTGAAACCTTCTTATATTAAGAAAAGCAGTTGGTTTGCATATTTTCAGATATGCTGGCAAAACTATTATATATAAACCTTCGCAAATACAGTATCTGACAGTTTCAAGCCAAAACAAATCTATGAGGCATAGCCCTAAGGCCTATAGTTGAAAGTTACTTCCCACAATGGTTAAAGGCATTTAAAGTACTACCTCAACCTTACCATTTAACACTTTATTCGGGTTGACATTTTCATTATCAAGGTGCTCTTGTCCTTTTCGTGACACTGAGAAATAAGGACATAAATGCGTTACCAACAGACATACACACAAAAATACAGAACTTAATTAGGGAATTTGCTACGTTTTAAGCATAACAAAGTACATATAAAATTAGAATTTGAAATCTTTGTCAATGTCATCAAATTTTATCATAACAATTTATATTTGCTTGGACCGAAGATGACCCGAAATGCTGCCGACGGCTTACTTTATAAAATGAAGTACTATAGACAATTTAGATTGGTAATGGTAATTTACCTATAATAAAAATTACCAAAATAGGCCACGAACTATTGATACATAAACAACGTAAATCGTAAACAATTCATGATGGTTTGCTAAACAAATGTTTTACTTAAATGAGTTATCATTTTCTTAGCATAAACTAACATTTTGGAATCCAGACAGAAAAAGCAAAACTTATACAGTTAAGGCATCAATTAAATTGAATAAGGCTGTAATACCACTGTATAAATAAGGTGCAACACCAACGATACGGTAACTAATTTGTAAATTACAGTGATGTGTTGGTACGTAAAAATGATTCTTGCTGCTACCAACGGTTCTAAGGAAAAAAACCAGTACCAAAAACCAACGTTTACAGTTAAGAATTACGTCTGACAAATTAAATTCGTTAATCAAGTCCCAAGGTTATTGATTTCTTGGTTTTGGATTTTCTCGTGAAAAGTTATCGGCAATCAAAATTATTTCCCATTAATTGCTTTATTCGTAAACAACTTTTAATGTAAACTTATTCAGTTTGAAAAAAAAACAACCTTATAAAAACAACTGTTTGTTATTTAATAGATTACGCAGGCCTATTCTCTAAACAATGATTGGTATATCTTTTAACATTAGAATGAAATGTGACAAAAATCATGCAATGCTGGGTTTTTGGACGTTTGTAATTTTATTTCTTAAGTAGGGAGGCCGTGTATTCTAGGGAAAAGTACCGGTAACAAGGATTGTCGTCGAAAAGGTTGTTATGAATAATTGGGTAGGCGTAAGTACCCAAGAGATGGGCTATGGGCCTACTGGCTGTATGGTCCAGCGATTGCATCATACGGTGAGTAGGAACAGAAAGTGACACATTGGAAAAGCGAGTTTAGCATCATCCATAAACCGTAAACCTCTGTTACAATCACCCACTGCAGTTGTGATTTTTTACCTTACACAACCACCATCGAAGCGCCGTCAATGAGTTAGTAAGGTATTGGCGACGATCATTAATAAATTCAAGTTTCCCAGCCCTATACAACACTGATTCAAGGTTATCAAAACTCAAGAACAATTTTATACACAAAGAATCTCTGGTTCCTAACCTGGATGATGTTATTAAATTTCATTTACGGTTTCACTATATTATTCCACTTGCGATTAATTAAATCTGTTATGTAAGACAACGATTTTAATCTCACTTGGATAAATGGGCTTTGCCTTCAAAACGTGATCGGAAATGGTTGTGGTATTTGTAAACATATCAGTGACAGCGAGAAAAAATAATCTTGATCCGAACAGCTGTTCGTTATTTCATAGATCATTATGTGATAAAAATTAGACGAAAACTTGACAAAAATCGCACAAAACTGCATTTTTTAAAGTCCGTAATATTATTTACTAAGTAGTGAGGCCATATTTTAATGGCTAAAGACACTATCGCCAATCCAGTGAATACATTAAAATGACTTGGATCTTGATAGGTACTCTCGTTTTCCTGGAGAAGATTGCGTAAAATGTCATCTTGAGTGTTACAGAAAGACAGGAAGACAGACAGACAGAAATTTAGATGAGACTTGTTTCGGCTTCTTTAATGTATAAAACGTAAAAATAACCTACAAATGAATGATTCTGAGCAATGTACAGACAAAACACCAATTTTATTTATATAGATTCTCATTGGTTGCAATTTAATAAGTGGTGTAGCAAAACACAAACACAAAATTTATTGAAATGAAATTAAGTCAATGTTAAGTGAATACTATTAACAAACATATTTGCTACATAAAGACATTTAATTGAAGCCTAAAAAACAGTTCGAAAAAGGCATTCTATTCTTTATACTAGTAAAAATTAAAATGAGGGTATAAAAAATAGTTTTCAAAGATCATGTTGATCAATGTACATTCATCTAGTCTTGAAAAAATAAGTATTTAAAAGCTTACTCCAAACATAATGAAGTTGATCGGTTGTTAAGAAAATGTCATCATTTTTCAAACCATGTAAACCTTATAGTTTTCCAACTGTTGCCTTGTTTATTTTTTTCTTTTTATGTTTTTTTTACTTTATGATGTTTCAATTAATGGTTCAAATATTCATAGTATATATATTTCTGAACAAGAACATATACCCATGTATATATAACTAATAAACGTTCCATAAGCATTTTACACGAGAGAACACTATTCGGCAAGTAGCCGGTCATCGTAACCGGTCATCATAAAGGAGCTTGGACGTCGTGCAACAGCGCTGAGCTATATTGGACGTCGTGCAACAGTCAAATATTTATTGGACGTCGTGGCACTTGGACGTCGTGCAACTGGCAGCGACTTTGGACGTCGTGCAACACTCCCGCAAATGTAACTTTTTTACAATTCTATAGTGCGCTGTTTCACGACGTCCAAGTGTCACGACGTCCAAATCTTGTAGAAAGACTATATTTTTGGCAGTTACTGTACTTTTGGACGTCGTGGCACTGAATAAATATTATTGGACGTCGTGGCACTTGGACGTCGTGCAATGCATCCTTTAATTCTGGGTATAATTGCCATAAATACCCAGGTCTGAGCATAAAGCATAATCGGCATAAATACCCTGGTCGCATGGTTGCACTGGTCCTGACTACTTATGATTTTTTAATTTTTATGATAGATACATGAATTTATTTTATTGAAAGTGAAGAAAAATAATTAGTAAAGTAATAATTATTATTATTTAGAAAGACAGGAAAACTTAACCTAGTAGTGGCCTATGTGTAAACAACTTAAGAAAATAATTTAAATTCAATCTGTAGGATGGCAGGATTTAATAATATTTTTGTTCTAGCCTAAATCTTTTGTTGGTATCAATGGCATCAAAATAAAAATAAAACTAATTTCACAAACTTGTGATACATAACATTTGAATCTATAGCACAATAAATCTGTAAAAATTATATTAAGTTAGACCAATAAACAGGAGATAATTTTTTTTAGTAGGTTTATCCAAATATATTATTGTTTCCAACTAAGCGGTTACACAGAAAAGTTTAATTACTTTTAATATTCTGGCATTCTGCCTATGTCAATCAGGCCTTAGGTCTGTCTAGCCTTCCAAGGCATTTATACAATAAAAATTTTAACTATCATAATTTAATAACAGTAGAAGTAGGTTTAGGTTCACTATTTCTCTGATTAGGTGTTGTCTTGATTTCATTTCATAGGGAGTGTTTAGTTTCTAGCATTCTCAATCCCAGGTAGCATCACAGGCCTGTTTTATTACTGCACACCTTTAGTTTTTAATATACTATTTTTTAGTAAGTTAAATTTAACTTATGTTACTCGATTTAAGACACGAAACCCCCTGCTAAATACTACAACTATAAATACAACAACTAGACATTCCATCCCCATGTTAAAGTTGTAGCCAGGCTTTTTAATAAAATTTGTCTTAGTTGATGTGAGCCACCTACAGATTGCGCTGATCTAAATTACTGATTTCTGCCGATTACATGATGGTTTTTACCAAGTCAAACTGATGGAATGACTTATTATGAGCTATAGCAACTGTTGTGACCCAGCAACTATGTCAGTACCGTAACGAAAAATAAGGTACAAAATAGAGTTTTAGACACTAGCGCAATCTGTGACTGGCTCACACAACTACATTATTTTTTAGTAAAAAATTGGCGACAGCTGATCCATATAGATGGGATGTCTTCTTCTGTATCCAATAGTCAATGGTTATACCTTGTTTTCAAGAAAGCTCATAAGAGGTTCCAGTTCAGATATCAGAAAAGCACCACATTTAATGAACGGGACTCGCCCTGCAACCAAAGTTGACAGTTATAATACAAAATGATTGTATAAAATTACATAAAACCTATGAAGATTAACACTACATAATCTTATTTGGATCTCTGGATCGATGAATGACGGTGTGCAGTTAGTGTAACTTACATTACGGTATTTAAATATGACCTTTACTGGATGAAAACTTAATACCTACCTATTAGATTCTCTTGGCTGGATCATAGAATTACATAAGTTACCTGAGGGTGACATTTCTTCAGCATTTCGTCTCTGAACAACTTCATATTGCAGATTGCACATCCTAAGAAATGCTTGGACTGCCAATGAGCTTGCATTATCCGGCAGTAAAATCTGTTCTGTTTCAAAAGGCTGGAATAGCTTGACATCGTCTGGCCATGGTTCATTCGCTATAAAAAAATAATGAAATAATCATAGATAATATGATTTAAAATTCATATTGATAGGTAAAATTCATTTGGTAGACCCAACATAAAACCCACTTCAGTGTACCTCCTATAGATCATACTGGATCACAACAGATTTTGATATCTACATTCTACTGTTGGATTTATATTGATAGTCAATGTAGTGAGAATCAAGTTTTCAAACTCATATCAGCCCTAAGGCCCCTCTTGGGGAGCAAGCTGGCGCAGTGGTTAGAGCGCGGGACTTCAGTCCCTGAGGTCCCGGGTTCGATCCCCGCCAAGTCACCAATGGATTTTATCTAATGTGAAAAACAATCCCAGGCTCGTGCCTAGCGTCCTAGGACAAAAAAAAAAACAAAAAAAGGCCCTCTTAAGTCAAGTATTATCCTGGGCGTGGTTAACATATGCATCAAGTGTGACTGATTCAATGGAAAAAAGATTTGAGGTTGTTAAGCGTCCTCGTTAGTACGGTAATGTTGTGATGAGATCAGATGATTGAGCAGTGTTCAATTCCATGGGTCTGTTAAGAAACCATTAATAACATAGCCTAAGTCTAAGTTAATTATTAATAGAGGTTGGTAGACATGATCTACCTTAAAAGAAGCAATCTGTTATAGTGAGTTTTAAAATTAAGTTTTAAGTGGTAAAATACTAATGGATTTAACTTGGTATGTGTTAATATTATCTTTGGACTATTAAGTATCAATTTGGACGATATAAATCTGTGCCGTAAGTTGCTTTTATTATTTCCTAAAGCTTTGATAACCTTGTAACTGAGACTGATAAGACATTGCGGCAGCGTGTTTGTTACGACTGCGCAATCATTGCCGCGCAGCCGTGTTCAGGATTACCAGTTACAGGCAATTCTACCCAGCCGCCGCTCCCTGCCACTGCCGTCGTCGAGCCGCCGACACCGTATTTACGGAGTGCCTACACTTTCAGAGACGCAACCAACACGTCACTCAGACGGAGCAGGGTGGTCCCAGGTATTGCAGGCGCTACTACTTCATTGGTAAACCGTGCGCACGCTTTCCCAATCTGACTACATTAGCCTACAATTCTCTATGGAAGGACCGGGCGATTTAATGCTTGGTTGTACAAATTTTTGTACTGAAACGGAAAGTTTAATTTCTGAATTTTGTCTCCAATTAAGTAAGCTTGTTGCTAATAGTGAATTGAATTGTTTTGATCACCTTATTAATGTGGCAGCAAAAGTTGTTTTGGAATTTAATGTTCTATGTGGTGAGCATCTAGATACCAATCAGAGATTAAAAGATGCCGAGTCCAAAATAAAAGAGTTGGAAGGCTTCCTGGATGAGTCTAAGCGAAATTTTCGATTGAAATTAAATGAATCTTTGGTTGTAAATGATAGTTTGATAAGTGAAAAACAAACTCTGGAAAGTAGGATAGATGACTTGAATGACAGCCTAAGAAAGGTTTCAAGTAAAAGTATAAAAGATAGAGACTTGCAATCTAAGTTTGATATACTTGTCGAAGATTATGATAGGCTACAATGCGCAAATAGTAAATGCATTGTAGAAAACAGTCGATTAAAGAAATTGCTTGACAAAAAATCATTAGAAGCAAGCGAATTAGCAACAAAACTTTGCGATGTGTCTGAAACTCTCAACAACCTGAAAGCTAACATTGATGACAAAACTAAGTGGTTATCGGACGATCTATTGTCATCATATTTTAATTTGTTTAACTCTGAAATTTCTATCCACCGTAAAGATGTAATGTTTGTGGGAGCAGCAGTTACACACATTCTAAAGCTAGAAAATAAGGTACAAGTCGAAGCGGTGCTATCTGAATTAGATTTTAAAAACAAGCGACTTGTTTTCTTCTGTTTAAACAACTCTCTGGATGATGGAGGTGGAACCCACTGGAGTCTGTTAGTGTTAGATACAGCCTCAAACACTGCTGTGCACTACGACTCAGCCCAAGGCATGAACAGACGCCATGCTCAGATACTGCTAGAGAATCTAACCATATGTTCCAACGTCAAACTTTTAGAGGGCAATGTGGCCCAACAGACAGCCAGCTATGAGTGTGGGCTACATGTCATTGTCAACGCGCGGCTGCTGTTAGCGCAACTCTGCTCAGAGACTTCAGCTCCTACCTTCCCACAGCCTAATAACCCACAGATCCTAACAACCACTGAGACTGCGTCTACCAACAGAAATATTAAGAATAAAACTACTCAAAGTCCGGTTTCTGAATTGATCAAACATGGTTCTAATGACAAAACTTCAAACAAACCTGTAAGCTACACGAAGACAATACCACCCCTCCCCAAGCACCAAAATAATAAAAATAATATTCTAATTTTAGCAGACAGTCATGGGAGATACCTTAGTAAAAACCTATCATCTATCTGGCAAGGGAACGACTACAATATAAACTGTATTTTTAAACCAAATGCTACGATGGAGGAGGTTCTTATTAAAGTAGAAGAGCTTACCAAATTATTTACAAAAGCCGATACAGTCATTGTACTAGGAGGGTCCAATAATGAAATTGTACAGGCTGAGTTAAGCTACTGTGAAACTATAAGAACAATGTTGAACAAGACAAATCACACAAATGTCATCGTCTCTGCTCTTCCTTATAGACATCACACACCAGGATTAAATAGAAGAATAACATACATAAATATTGACTTGGAACAACTTCTGATTCAGCATGAACACGCTAAATTTCTTCCCCTGAATGAGCTTCCTCGCCACCTATATACAACACATGGACTACATCTTAACAAAAAGGGTAAAATAAAATTGGCAGCTATGATAAAGAACATGATTACTCCCCAACAGAAGCGGAAACCACAGCTTAACACCAATGTCACTTGGCAGGAAAAAATGCCAGGCATAAGAAAACATGACATTAATGTTATAGAAATGGACATGAGAAAAGCCATCAGCCTAATCAAAGGGGATCCATCTGTTGCGTTTGCCCACACAATATCCAGAGATATCAGCCATGAAAGGAATATGACTGCCGGTGTGGCAGTTGCATTCAGACAACAATTCGGTAGGCCGAAAGAAGTTGACTTCATTAATACAAAATTGACGTGTCAAAAGGTGCCAAATGGAGCAACAGTATACAGCCTGGTCACAAAAGAAGAATACTGTGGCAAGCCAACTGTACAAAACTACGACGAGGCGTTCATGCAGCTCATTGAGGATTTTTCGAAGAAGAAATTTGAGACAATAATATGTTCGCCCATGGGTTGCGTACGGGACCACATCCAGCTGAAACACTTCTCCAAGAACGTTCGAAGACTGCATGAAACAACAAATGCAACAATCTGTGTGCTGTCTTGCGACCAACCAACGGCAAAGAGAAGATTGTGGAATGGACTTTCTCACTCCAGCTTTCTACAACAACTGGATAAAGCAATTCGATCCCACAAAGATGAGCAGTCTTCTTCCTCCACGTCACAACCTAGACACCAGAAAACACCACTGAAATCTAAGGAGGCCAACTTACTTACTTCCACCACAACTGACCGCGACAACATCACCACCTCTACACCTCACCCTCACGAGTGTCCACCACTGACCATGTCTGCTGGCAGCACTTCTCCTCGGTTGGTACCTGGTCCTCTGGAGTATAGTGAAGTGGTAAAGAGTGCAGTGCAAAAGCAGAGTATTGTGAAAGTGTGTGAATCTCAGTCCTGCACAAGTCCACTTATCTTAAAGAGTAAATGTATGATTAGTGACCCTGATAACCACCAACCATCTACGCCTTACCACACCACTAATGACAGTCAATCCAATATTTTCCTGCCTTTAAACTCCCTATTGATTCCAGTAACTCCACCAATCTAACATTACCAACTTTGAAACTAAACATCCCTCACAAAATATGTGCTAAAAGTAAAACTAGACAAATTTCAAGTAATCATAGCAGTAGTAAGTTCAATAATAATTTTTCAATTATACATCACAATGTTCAACACCTTCCCTCCCGTCAAAACCTTCTTGAAATTTTTCTTAATGAGACCAAACCAGATATTATTGCACTGAGCGAACATAAAATGACACCAGAAGAAATTGTTTTGCTAAATATTTCAAACTATGTGGCAGCATCTCATTTTTCCCGAAGTTTGGGTCGAGGGGGAGGAGTTGTTATCCTAATTAAAGATAATGTCAATTTTAAATGTGTAGATATTCCTGCTATTAAGGATTTACTTGTAGAAAAAGAACTTGAATGCTGTTTAGTAGAAATAATAACTAGTAAATTCACTTTTGTACTTGGTTGCTTATATAGATCACCTAAAAGTTCAAATTTAGATGTGTTTTTTGAAAATTTTGAAATACTTTTAAATGTCTTGAACAAAAAATACAAAAATATCATAATTACAGGTGATTTCAATATAGATGTACTAACTAAAGATAGTAGATGTAAGAAATTTGTAAATATTTTGTCTAGTTTTAATATGAAGTACTTGGTTGACTTCCCTACAAGGGTAACAGACCACTCAGAAACTGCTATTGATAATTTTGTAACTAATATTGACCCTAGCCATTTTAGAGTAACGGGTATAGTAACTCATATATCTGATCACGATGGCCAAATTATGGAGTTTAAGAATATTAAAGCAATAAAAAATAATTTGATCAGAAAAAAAATAAGAAAGTTTGATTGTAATAATATACATTCTTTTTGTAAAAGTTTAAGTTCTGAGTCTTGGTCTGCTGTTTTCCAATCTACTGTCTTTACTAAGTATTATAGTTTTTATAATATTTTTAAATACTATTTTGATGTTCACTTTCCAAAGCAATATGTTACTGAAAAACAATATAAAGCTAATCAATGGATTGATGAAGTGTTGAGAACAAAGCAATCTGAAATTGTTAAGTTAGAAGCACAGTTTAGAACACATAAAGATATAAATTTAAAATTAGTAATCAAAAATAAGAAAAAGGATCTCAAACATCAGATTATAAACAATAAAAAGAGATATTTTGAGAGAAAAGTCTTGAGCTCAAAAAATAAAATTAAAACTACTTGGAATCTGGTAAATGCAGAAACATGCAAACCTTCTAAGATAAATAAAAACCTTAAAATATTTTATCAAAATAAATATATTACAGAACCAGATATGATTTGTGAAACATTTAATAACTTCTTTGTGAATGCTGTTAAAGAATTAATTACAACCAACATAAAATCAAATCACTTAACAACCACTTGCAATCCGACCAATGTGTTTTCCAAAATCACATTTAAATTTAAAACAGTAACAGAAAATGATGTAGGAAAAATATTATCATCACTTCAAAATAAGCTTTCCACCGGGAATGATGATATTCCTATCACAATAGTTAAGGCATCATGGCAATTCATATCCATTCCTTTGACTCATATTATTAATCATTCATTAATGTCAGGTATTTTTCCAGACCAGTTTAAAGTGGCAAAAGTAATCCCCATTTTTAAAAAGGGGGACCCCGAGGATGTCAGATGCTATAGGCCTGTATCATTGCTTCCTGTATTTTCAAAATTTTTAGAGAAGATTGTGTACAACCAACTTTTAGATCACCTTGAAATAAATTGCCTCTTAGACGAGCAGCAGCATGGTTTCAGACGAAAGAAGTCCACCATAACAGCAGGTGTGGAATTTGTTGAGTCAATCATAAATTCGATTGATAAAGGTGAAAAAGTCATTGGTATCTTTTTGGACCTGTCTAGAGCCTTTGACACTGTAGACCACAGTACTCTCATAAATACACTAAGCTCTCTTGGAGTTAAAGGCACAGAATTGGCATGGTTTAAATCTTACATTTCAGATAGGAAACAGTTTGTAGAAATAAGTCATTATTTTAATAATTCAAAACCTATATATAAGGAGACATATAGTTCGAGCTTGCTAAACATACAATATGGAGTCCCCCAGGGATCAATTCTAGGTCCCTTGTTATTCCTCTGTTACCTGAAGGGTCTACCAGGGGTGATATGGGACAAGAACAATAAAATTTGTCTCTATGCCGATGACACTAACATGATTGTAACTGCCAATAGTAAAGAAAACCTAGAAATTTCATCTCATATTAACTTATCAATGATTAAAGACTTTTTTGATAGTAAAAACCTTCTGCTGAATTCACAAAAATCTAATTTTGTAACATTTACAACCAAACAGACTAAGCAAAAATTAAATCCCACAATATTCATTGAAGAAAACTTAATAGATCAATTAGAGAAAACAACTTTTTTGGGATTAGTTATTGATGAAAACCTAACGTGGAACGACCATGTAAATCTTGTAGTTAAAAAAACAACAAGTGGTTTGTATGCTCTTCGGAAAATGGCAACCTCTTGCAATATTGAAACTTTAAAAACAATATATTTTGCCTTAATCCATTCACATGTGTCTTATGGTATCTGCATCTATGGGTCAACCTCTAAATTAAACATGGATAGAATATTACTCCAACAGAAAAGGGCATTAACGGTAATTTTGAATCTAAAAAAAAATCTGATGTAGTTAAAAATGATTTTTCCAAATTGAAAATATTTACAGTTTACAGCCTCTTTATTTTTGAAACAATAAAATTTGTAGTATCTAACAATAAACTAACATTTGGTAATACTGTCCATAGCTATAATACAAGACCCCATCGATTGGTTAAACATCATAAATTAGAGCTTTTAAAAAAAAAATCACCTATAAAGGAAACAAATATTTTGATCTTTTGCCACAAAATATCAAAAAAGAAATAAATAATACAAACAGATTTTTAAATTTGGCAAAAGCATTTCTAATCCAATCAGCTTTCTTTTCTATCGGGGAGTTTTGTTCTTGACTCTTTTGATTTTGACTCTCTCTTAATAATTTAGAATACAATTTAACCTTATGTATTTTTTGAATAACCATCTCACTTAGTTTTAGTTCCCATGACTCTATTTCATGTAACTATGTTTGCATATTATGAAATAAAGATATTTTGATTGATTGATTGATTGATTGATTGATTGAGAGGTTAAAATACCTTATAATCCGTCAGTGTGATCAAGTCACCGATGAAAAGAGAACGGTTTCAACCCATCAAAGAGGTTCATCTTCAGGCGAAAAAAGGACACATAATTACTCCGAAGAGGTCGTAAAAAGGACAATAAATACAAAACGAAGAACAGTTACATTTAAACACATTTTAACAAAACACACGTGTCTGGACTTGTAACTCAATGTATGGTAATTATATAGACCTCCGGACCTCACGCAAAATTACATTTTTTTTTCAAAATGGTCGAAATTTCATGCTGATTTCAAAAATGATTGCCGTTTATTGCGGAAACGTCCCGTTTTCCCGGAAGATGGGAAAAACGGGAAAAATATTTTTTTGCTCAAAACCAATGTTGTGGGTAAGCCTACTCAAATTGTGCGGAATTTCATCCTGAACAAGAATAACTTATGTAGTTTTTATTACGATCGCTATTAAGTAAAATATCACTGGAAAGGTTAACTAACCTAACCTAACCTAGTTTAGGTTCCTAAACCTAAACTAACCAAACTTAACTTATGAACTTAGGTTAGGTTAGTTTATCAATAACATGAGTACGGTATTGTAAGTAAACTAACCTAACCTAACCAAACTTAACCTAACCTAAAACAACCTAACCCAACCTAACCTAAACTAACCTAACCTAACTTAATGTTAGGAAAATGCTAACTTAGATTAGGTTAGGTTAGGTTAAGTTAGGTTAGGTTAGTTTAGGTAAAGTTAGGTTGGGTTCGGTTGGTTTAGGTTTGTTGTTGTTTATTTGTCAATCAAATCAAATAGCCTACGGTTTAAACTTTCTTAACTGGGCTAGGCCTACGCTAATATCGATTGAAACTATAAATTTGATTAGTAAACCTTCATTTGATTTTTTCATTATCAGTAAGTTTGGTTAGCTAAGTTATATAAGGTTATTACTGTTTCATTTTATAATTTATATAGGCCTAGGTAGTTAAAAATATCGATTATTAAACGATAGCCTAGGCCTATTTCAATCGATATTAGCGTACATATAGCCCACCCAGTTAAGAAACTACCCCCTCATATGAGCTAAAATGGTTGATTGATAACTTTATTTTTAATTTGTAGGCTATTAATTGATGAGGAACATTTGACAGGTAATACAAAAAGGTAAACTAGGGCCTACCTCCAACTTCACTATCAATATTATTCAACACCAGTTGTAAAGGCATGATTTCAGAAGCCCTATGGATTGAGGGGCTTTGAAAAATTCCCACGACTTCTTTGAATTACTTCCACTAGTGAAAAAATGGTATGACAATATTGACAACTGGAATTGACAAACTATAAATTCTCCAACCTCCAACTTACTAGAGCTAGAGCAGCAGCAGATCTAGAAGAGAAGAAGAAACGCAGAACAGAACAAGAAACGAAACGAAGGAAGGCTGAAATTTGGGTGGAGTGGAGGTAATTCAAAGAAGTCGCGGGAATTTTCAGCAGTGTAGAGGGTTAGCGATAGCACCGCGAAATACGTGACCACGGCGAAGCCTTAATACCTTAATACCTCCTTCTTCGTCTTTTACCCACAATGTGGGATTGACAGCGTCACTTTAACACGACTACTAATACAAAAAACAATATTTACAACTATTTACATACTTCCGGCAGGCTACAGGCTTCTTAAATCATCCCCTAAATACTCTGAAATATCGTAATAGGCCCGGCTCTTGATGAAAGTGGTTAACACTGCCTCAAATTTTCTCAAGTCCAACAACTGGATATGTCGTGGCAGCTTATTGAACAGACTTATGGCTGACACACTATAACTAGCCTGGGTCCTAGATAGTCGCACCCTTGGTACATCAAGCTGATGGCGCTGCCTGGTGTTACTGGTGGACGTCAACACGAGTGGTGAAGGTTGTTTTATTAGCCCTAACGTGCACCAGACAGAGAAGTATGTAGTGGCCAACTACAGTAAGCACACCAAGTCGTGCAAAGAGGGGTTTGCAATGAGCACGATACTCACTCCCAGTAATAATCCTTAATGCACGCTTCTGGAGCCTAAGCACTTCAACAACCTTTGGCGAGTGTCCCCCACGCCCTTCTCCCAGAGGGGAGGGGCCGGGCACAAGCTGACCGAATTGAGTTGTTGGTACCAACATGATATTTGATCTAAGTAAATGGCACCTAGGTGAAAGGTTGCCAAAAAGAAGGCCTCCCGTCGTTTCAGACTTGTTTGAGTAAAAAAAAACGTATTAAATTTAATAGCGTTAGAATGGGACCGCGCCGAAGTTGGACAACGACACACGTGGACAACGATAAAGTTGGACAGGTTAAGTTTCCAGGATTGTCGTTTGCGTGCAACGTTACCACTGAGCTAAAATTATAACTGGAGGTAGCACTGCCATGGCAGAAGTCTGTCAAAAGCGTGTCGCTGATTTTGTTAGGTTGGTATAGCAGCAGGTTTTTTCATCCAATAACATGGCTTCTATAACTAGGTTTGCATAGCAGTGAGTTTTTTTCATCCAATAACATGGCTTATTTATAACTCACACCTCCCGCAAACATGGCGGCTGGCGACACGCATAGTTGACATTCAGTGCTAGGTACCTCCAGTTAGAAAATTGGGAGTGGGACATCAGATCCGCTTTGCAAATTGCGAGGTGTTCCTCAAGGTAGTTGTTTAGGCCCTGTGCTTTTCAATTTATACACGTCTGACTTGCCCAGAAGTGTAAAATATTGTACAGCACACTTGTATGCTGATGACTGTCATTTACACTTGTCATACAAGCCAGAGACATGACATCCGCAGCAATTGAACTCATCAATGCTGATTTGCACAGCATTTTTCAATGGTATGTCATGAATGGCCTTGGATTGAACGTTGACAAGTGTGTTGTCATGCATACTGGGCCACATATTCTAATGCAGGAGTTGAGAAAATCTGACATTAATGTCACCCTTGATGGCATGGGATTGTCTGCCTGTGACACTGTCAAAACGCTTGGTGTTGTACTTGATAAAGACCTCTCTTTTTCTGACCACGTCACATGTGCAGTCCAACGCGCCGTGGGAAGATTGAGAGGTATTAGCAGATTCAAAACTCTCCTGCCAGAATTTGCCAAAACACAACTCATGCGGTCCTTGGTCCTTCCAGCCTTCACATATTGCTCTCCTGCATATGGAAACAGCATCTCTAAGGAGGATATGGCAAGAGTTCAGAGAATTCAAAATTCTGCCATAAGGTTCATTTTGGGCCTTATAGTAGCTTTTACCACGTGTCCTCCGACCGAGATGCTGATGAGCTCATCCCAATGGATGTGCAGAAAGCTGACCTGCTGCCTGGTCCACAAAGTGCTCACGCTGGGAGAGCCTCAATACCTCAGCGAGACGCTGAAGTACAGGAGGGAGATCTGTCTGCGTAGTACTCGCTCCGACCGCAGGCTTCACTTTCCTAAAGTGAGGCTTGAGGCTGGAAGAAAGTCTTTTTCTTATTTTGGCCCGCAGTTGTACAATGGCCTCCCTCAAGAGATCAAGTGTTTGAAATCGTACAACTCATTCAGGGCCGCAATGAAAAAAAAAACAAATGTAAAATGAATTTTGTAATTTATTCTGATGTCATTGGTTTGTGTATACTTATGTAAATATATTAGGATAGGTAGTTTAGATTTAGTGACTTAAGTTAGTTTGAAAACCATGTATTATGAAACTTGCTCGTAAATAAAGGCCTTTTTATTTATTTATTTATTTAAAAAGTCATTTTAAAACACTATATTTTCAGATATTGTCCGGGAAAGACCCTTACCAAAAGGCCCCCGGACCCCCGTATGTTATCTATTGTATATGTTGTTGCACCCCCTGTTACAAATCTTGCGGGCGTCCATGTTGAGATTGAAAGTTGAAGCAAGGGCAATCAATACTTGAGACGATTTAAATTCACATGCACCCCTTCAAGCGAAGTCCAGTCAGTTGTGGGTTGGTTAGAAAAGGATCTCTTCAACTGCCAACTGCCAAAGAAAATTCCTCGTAAGCCAGAACATTTGCATCCGGTGGAATGTAAGCAGAACAAATTAGGTAAGATCTCACACAAAAAAACACATTCAACAGATGACATAGAAGTACAAAGCCTCCACGAAGAAAATTTGTTTTTCAACAGCTATCAGACATCCTCCACCAGATCATCACTTGTAGCTATGGATCTATCTTGCCTGTAGATATTGCAAGTTGTGAAGTTCAAGTTCAGGAGATGACATTTTAATGAATATTTTGTAATAAGTTGATTTAAAGTGATAAAATTTGAAGTGTATAAGAAATTGTACATTTTACAACGAAGAATTTTGGTGATTTTATAAGGAAATTAAGTTTTAAATCCGGGTAAATTGGGTAAATGAGTGAGGGTTTTTGAGAAAATAAAAAGCATAAAAGCAATGAATGCTGATTGGCAATAGTCCAACAGCCTCTGTTTCCTCCGCCCGCCGCCCCAAGATTCTATATGATTCTATTCTGTCTAGCCTCCCTATTGTTCTGTTCGTTTCGTTTCAGACGGTGACACACTATCGATCTTTTCCCCGAACAAGACCCCGAACCGAGCAGGGAGAAGGGAGAAGGGAGGTCGAAGGGAGGATGTTCGATAGTGTGTCACGGGTCCGTACACCGATCAAGACGCCGAACAAGACATCAGGCCGAGCAGGGAGACGAGCGCTCTGGAGGCGGTTTTTTGGCGAAAGATCAAAGAAAAGATCGGTCCGATGTACGGTCCGAAGTACGATAGTGTGTCACGGTACATTTTTGCCCCGTACATCGTCGCGAGCGCCGCACCGAGCGGCCGCCTGCGCTAGCATTGATAGTTCTGATTTAATATGGCAATTAAACTCTTTAATTGGTAAAATAAATAAATGTTGGGTAATATGTTGCCGTTATATATTATAATCATTTAAGATGTAATGTTTGTGGTTTGTTTGGTCAAGGTTGAAAGTGTAGAAACCGTTAAATCAATTATATCAATAATATTAAGGTTGAATTCAGTAATTGATGTTGACTTAAATTCTTTCAAAAATAATATAAACATTAATATTATTAAAGACAATTAAAATTATCATTCTGTAACGTTATTTCAATGAATAAAACCAATAGAAATCAATAGATATAACTAAGCATCCTTTCTAGAATATTTTATTTTTGCGACAAGTTTTCAAAATGCGACTTTTAACAATAATTTTTATGTTATAGAAACTTTTAGGCTTTGGTCTGGTGTGCATTTTTTAGATTGGGACCAGTCGGGTAGTTTCGGGGTAATTTTGCACCCCCAATAGAGAGTCAATGCACCCCCCTCCCTCTTCCACGGCACTGCCTCCGCGCTCTCACTCGCACACACTCTCCATCTCTCTCCAAACTTCCTTTTGCCGCGCTCGGTAGAATTCGTCTGGTCTTGGTCATGTTCGGGGAAATGTTCGGAGTAAAATTTTGCTGATATTTATCTCCCTTCTCCCTTCTCCCTGCTCGGTTCGGGGTCTTGATCGGGGAAAAGATCGATAGTGTGTCACCGCCTTTCGTATTCGTTATTACAATCATTTCATAATTCATTTCATTTATATATTCCATTCCGATCCGATTTGTTGGTTCTTTTTCTTGTTTGTTCTGTTCCGTGTTCCGTTTGGTCGTTTGGTGTTTGGTTTTGTTTTGGACCGACTGTTTCACTGTTTGGATTGGAGTTGGTTTGGACGACGGACGTTGTTGTTGGTGTCCTCTGTATTTAGTTGGATGAATATGTGCGATTTGAATTTTTTACTCAAATATTAAGTTATGACTAAGTGTTCTCATCAAGATTTTTGAAGAAATATCGTTGTAAGTATGCTGTCATGGTATAATATGTCCTATATATTTTTGAAATTCTCTTTAACAGTACAATAACCTTCGACACAGTTTCTTCGTCGTTTACCAAGATGGCGAAGTTACATTCGTGACCACCAGATATTTCAGATGACATTAACTGTATACAGTAGTGTGCATTAACAATTAAAGGTGTAGATTAGGCGACTTACTGTTTTTTACTAATATGTAAGAGTATTATATTACGGCCAAACCTTCTAATGACATAAACAGGAATTTTATTTTTGAAGATTTTGGGCCTAGGCCTAGGCTAGGCCTACCATGTAGCCTAGGATTAGGGGAGAGCAGCTTTAAGTGTTGGTATATATTTATCTTACGGGAGTTGAGGCAAGGGCAAATATTTACCGTACCTGCACTGGGATATTAGGCCTATGTAATTTTTATATGTCTAGGCCTACAGTATCTTTCACGCTGAATCCAAAAATGCAATCAGTTTTTGTCGTAGAGATTCCTAAGTAGCCATAGTGGCTGTAAAACAAAGA